GTGATGTCTTATAGGATGTTCACATTGACGTAGATGCAAAACTCTCAAGCGATATTGTCATCCTGTTTGAATCCTTGGAAAGGATTTTGGATTCTAGTGGATTTGCTCGGTGCAGCGAGTAGTTTGCTCCAGGCACGGCAAGTTTTGCCGGACCATACCCACATGCCGGAGGTTACGCCGATCACGAGGGACAGGAAGAGTCTGAGAAGGGCAACTTCGAGACCGGCAGCCCGGTATATCGGACCCGGGGCACAATTCTGTGCCACGTGGCAATCCAGTGCAGCCAGCAATGACAATTTTCGCCATCGCGGTCTCACCGAGGCCTCGTGCAGCACGCAAACAAGACTACCTAGCGCCGGCAGCGCGTACAACAGCGCGAAGATACCTAGCCGCGTCATCAGGCGCTCAAGTTTAGTCGCGCTGCGTCCGGCGCAACGTACGGCTCTTCGTACCCGGACCAGAGCGCTGCCAGCAATGCTACCAAACACGCAACCCAGCAACAGCAGCACGGCGTGCGGTAGTACTTCCAACCACAGCGCTGATTCATCCGAGATCTGGCATAGCCCGGTTAACTCGTCCGCCACCACATTGCGCGATAGTAGACTTCCTGTACGTGAGAATGATGTGTTTATTCGTATTCATGGTTACATGGTTTGTTTTGATGAATTGAATAAAAAAAAAAAAAAAAAAAAAAATCGTCGCAATATATCAGGAAAATATAAACTAAAATAACGTAATAAATACTCTCAATATAATACATTGATATAATTAGAATTAAATCTTCGATATATCAAGTAACTCGACGGATAATCTTTTGAATTAAAGAAATATTCAAATTATTTATAAACTCATTTGTAAATCAAATGAATTAAATCAGTATCCTTTCTAGCCCGATTTTGGAGGCTTATTATTATGCCCCTATTGTCATTTGAGATGACTCGACGATCAAATCGCCGATGATGCTCTACCTCAGGAGCTATCTCCTCATATTGCAAATATGTACATTAGAACTGTCTCCCGCCGTTAAGAAGTTGTCTTAACCGTAATCAAAGCATTTTTTATTGAACAATTTTTATTTTCATAAATAACTAAATTTTCTAATTAATTTCCTTATTAATATATTATATGTATTCTATATAATATAATTGTGATAAAGTATAGTAACCACAATTTTAACACTACATTTCCATTACTCCATTACTTTTTTTGACGGTATCAATTTGCCATCAAAAGCACTACGATGTTGTGCCAATCTTGTTCGGTTTTTGCCAATTTATCATCAGATAGTGCTGCACAAATCTTGATTTTTGCCTTTCAATTTGTTATCTTGTCATGTATGACTTTGCTAACAAAACATGAGTTTATTGATGTGACATAAATAGGATTTGGTATCAAATTTTAAATGAGTTTGATAAGTTTTTAACTTTAGGAAAACGTACCTCGTAGACGTAAGAATTATGATTGGGTCATTTCTGAATCTGTACACATACTATGGGATAATCAAGAAATTACTCTGCATATAAATGTACGCGTTACATGCATTTTCAATATATCAATTATGTTCAATATAATAAAAATATAGCCTTTATAAGACAAAAGATGAAATAACAAAAGCCCGAGTCCTTTGTCATATGCGCTGCGATACACAACAAACACTCATCATGACAAATGTAAATAGATAAGAAAAACAGCAGTTTTCATGTTTTAACTTTTTTCGAGTCTCTTATGGCGCAAAGTAAATGAATAAGTAATCTTCAAAAACTAATGAATATTCATTGAGTTTCGAATGACTCGATTACTATCAGGGAAATATAATTAAAATATGATATGTCTTGTGATGTTTTGCGACAATTCAATTCGAATTCGAATAAAATGGAATTTACTTTAATTCGATTCAACAAAAATTCTTGATTCACACATCTCTATTACAGATTTTAGTTTTATATAATATAAATTACCTCCTGTGAAAAATATTGGAAGAATCCATGCGGCCGCATGAAAATAAGGTGCAATATTATGTAGAGCTTCACTGCTCCATTCATTCCTAGCACTCAGCAGCCAACAACCGCACAGCACCGCCCACCACATCTTACTAGCTAGTCCCAAATAGTATCTGATTAGCCACCAAAGTGTACAAGGAACGCTTTTCAAAGCATCGCGAACCTGAAATAAGTATTACAGCAACTGAATGAATAAAAAAGTTCATTATAAAAAAAATAACAATAAGGATATTCCTTAACAAAATAAATTAATCCTAATAGAAGTAAATAAATATTTATGCGATATCATAATTTCAATATACAAAATCTTAGCAATAAATTTTATATATATATATATATATATATAAAATGATATGTATTATTGTTCTTTTCATCGTATTTGGCTAAAAAAAATTTATTTACTTACTGGAACATAGCTCGGCCCATCAATCTGACTGACGCAGCTGAGATTCTCAGCACCGATCGCGCCACGAATGATGTAAACTATGGAAAGGAGATTGTAACAAAGTGCCAGGAAAACTATCGGCCTTTCAGGATAACGAAATCTGGATGGCTCGACCCAAAAGGTTAGCAGGGTAAAAAGTGTCGAAAGAAAGCACAACCATGCCCAGCCAGTCATCCAACGCTCTGCAAATCTTTTGTCTTCAGCGCGATAATACGCATCAGTACCGCAACGTGGTGCGCAAGAGATCTGAAGCCATGAGAAGAATATTAAGAAAGGAAATCTATATAATTTTAATCACTTCGTCTTGAATCGTTTTACTTAATCTAACCATTTCCATATCGGATATCTGTACAAAGTGAGAAGGGCATTGATGATGATGTTGCTGTTGTATTCGCGTGGAGATTTGCGGTGGTCGTTCGTGCATTACCGGCCACTGCTGAAGAATAGTTGGCAGTATCGGTGGACTGATGTCGTCTATTATTTCATCTGGCGGCTGAACGCACAATGTATTTCCTGTAATAGAATTAGGATTACTTCAAAAAACATAGTTTTATATTCCATACAATTTAATACATCTGTATTATAATTTCCATACAATTTAATACATCTGTATTATAATTTGATATCTTAATTACCAAATATATTTATTATACAATATAAATGTGTCACTATTTTTAATGGGGAGGGGGGAGGATTTTTCCTTTTTTATTATTTTATTCCAAATTAACAAATTTACATAATTTCTAATTTTATCTATCTATACAATTAAGTTTGTCAAGAATAGAATTTGCATTATCTCTATTATAAATTTTATTAAACAAAAGAATTATATATATATATATATAAAATAAGTCTCTTTTACCATTATATAAATAGTAGGATTTAGTGTAGTAATACAGGATAAATCTGCAATGAAGATACGTCATAGCGTGAACACATGATAACACTCTGTTTGATTTACTCTTACAATCAACTTACTGTTGTAAGCGTACACAAAGATAAAATTCAACCATCTTTTACAACCTTTAACAATGACTTACAATACTTCACAACAATACAATACTTCACTATTTACAATCACGTTTACACAATTGTAGAATGGGCTTTTTTGTATGATCACACAGGCAAAAATATGATAAAGATTGTCAACGACAGATTTAACGAGAGATTTAAAATTTGCAATTTTTACAAGCAGAACCACAATACAATATGATATAATTTATCTAAATAATCAAAGCTATTGAAAACAGATTTTGCAAAATACCTGTTTTATAAATTTGATTTGGCAGAACTCCCAAATTTAATAAAATCTACCAACGGATGATAGCAAATTGACTGCAGAATCTGCCTTTTCATAATTATTTTAAAGTGACAAATTTTATTTGGTTTTTATTGACGATCCATGCAGCATATTATATCGCAGGAACTAGTGATAAAACAAAAAATCAATATAGACACATAGTTTGATGCTCCTTGATCTACCGTATATTTTATTACTAATAATTATTGACAAATTGTCAAAATAAGATTTGAACTTACTGAATTGAATAATAGAATTTGTAAAGCGAAATTTGCATTTGACACAGATTCGACGTTTTATTTTCTAAATATTTATATGTCGTTTTATATTTTATGGACATATTCTGATGTTGGTTTGCTGCAATTTCCGTTCAAATCTGCCATCAATTTGCTATCAATTGGCAGACCGTTGTTACTTTCGCTCACTGAAATATTAGCTGATGATTCAATAAGTGAACGGATTGCTTACCACGATCGAGGAAGCGATCGCAGTCCAGCATATGCGGCCACGGGAGCGTGAGACTGGTTAAAGCCGGCTCGCAGTCTCTTCTTACGGAAAGGCAGAGAGATTTGCAGGCCGGTATAGCCACATGTTCCGAGCAGACCGGAGCGAAGACGGCGCACAAGAAGAGCCTGAGGTGTTTCGAACAATTGTAGTGGACCAGCGGCATGAACGCAGATAGCTGCAAATACACGTGCTATTAGAACCAAGTAATGTGTGACAAGTGTGTGACAAATTTCATCGCATATTTGCGTTTCTTCCCTGAAACTCCTGCTTCGATCAGTTCCTAATTTTCAATTGTTAAACATTCGATTTTTAATTTACTTTCATTTACATTACTCCAAATTAATTGAGGAAACGTCAGATAATTGAATAATCAAGTGAGTCAAAGCTTTCGAATTGATGGCACATTCAATTAACATTTCAATGTTTGAATTCACCTTAGATCAACATTATATACATGCATTTAAAAAAAAAAAAGACACGTAAAAAATATATTTTTATATATTTCCAATATTGCATTTTACATTCTTTACTGTTCAAACTTTAAATATAATAGACATTACAGACCGGTCGTTGCTAAAAGTTGAAACTATTCGAACATATTCGAATCTTTTGTCCGAATTCTACTCCAAATTGATCGCAATCGAGTTAAAACAAGAATGATAGATGTGAACGATAGATTTCGGCATATTATATTTTGAATATTTTTCTTTACATTTATGATTTCAAATGGCGATGTAAAATGTGTCTAGGAATGCTCTAGGGATTGAATATCTCAAAGATATCCCGAGCACATGTAGGATGCATTGTGCCGTTTAGAATTTTACATTTTAAATTTTGAAAGGAACCTGTATGTAATCCTTCATCTTCTAAATTCGCAGAACGAAGCCCGTGATGGAGACCGTGAAGATCGAAAGAGTAATGCACCTAAGCAGGCGGAGAGAAGACGCCTCGCTTCCATGAGATATAACCAACGGTGGGTATCAGGGGTAATTATCCCGCCCATTCTTCCCGCCTCAATCTCCTCTGTACCTCTTGCACCCACCGACCTTCTCCTCCCAACCTTCCGTTCTTTTCCCCTCTACCTCTAAATTCGCCCATTAGTTGCTCCGAGTTGCTCCGCGATGCTCTTCTCCTCTAGGGCGCTTTCCAAATCATGAAATTACCCATGTGGGTAACCCATAACGACGGAACCCTCCATTTCGTCCAGCATCGCGCGCGCTCTCCTCTTTGGGTTCCCTTCTCATCCAAGTCAAAGACCAGGACCAGAAAGGAAGAGAGAGAAAGAAAGAAAGATCCCTTCCGTCCGAAGATCGCGTGCGTGATTATTTTCACTTTTCTGCGCGTGCACGACGAATACACAACTATATCTAATCTATATAGCAAAGAGGTTATTCGAATGAGCTTACAACTGATTTTATTTTTCTTCTCTCGTAACATTTAAATGTTATGAAAAGGAATATAAAGAAAACAATTTAAAATGCCGTTTTTATAAATAAAATGTGTATTTACTATAAAAGAAAGAAATATTTTAATATCTTGAAATTGACAGACAGGATAAATTTCTAAAAAACATCCTTTTACACTCTTAGATTCTTGTAATCTAGAGGCGAGATAAGTATGATTACAATAAAATTACAATAAAAAGGAGAAATTCCAGACTTCCGTTCGTTATAGGATAATTTTAAAATAATTTTCTTTGTCCAAGAATAAAGACACACACACATTTGTGATAATAAAGATACAATAATTCGCACTTTACTACTTCACGCGGGACCAAAAATCGAATCAATCGAAATTACATTAATCTCAATGCACATATGTAGTCATCAGTTTCTTTTTTGTAATCTCAGATTTCGCGTCTCGATCATCTTAAACCCCACCCCCGGGGCGAGGGGGGGGGGAACGCGAAGAGAGAAATCTGAAATCTGTGAAATCAAGAAGTCTGTGCAGATCTCTTGATTCGGCCATTATTTCGCATTCTTCTCTTTCGAGAATGACCAGAAAAAGTCGGAGTAGGAAAGGCGCGTCCCATCGTTTTCATCTTCTCTCCCTGCTCCCGTATACGATCCTTCCGAAGCATTTTCGAAGCGGCTTGACAGACAGACAGACAACTCGCAGATAAAAGAAGAAACGAATAAACCAACGAATAGATGGACGCGGGACCGACTTACTTCTTATTGCGGTCCGTTCCTTTTCCTTCTTTGCTTTTATCCTTACGCGACTCGTTTCGTTTTATCCTTCGCTCGTTCTTTGATCGAATCATTGTGAGACCCTTTGTGAGGCAACATGTATATTTATGCGACGTGATGCATAAACCAGTGATACGCGATGTCTCAAGGGAATGTGTTTTTTTGTTTTTTTTTGTTTTTTTTTTGCGCGAGAGAATGATATCAGGCACGCTTTCGAAAACTAGATTGCGTTTTTCTATGCTGCTTGTCTTTACGTGGAAAATGGTGTTATCACCGGTTACAAGTTTCCGAAGCACGCTCTCGATTACAAACAATTTTAATAGTAATAGTTATTTTATTTTTAAATTTGTAGTCTTGAAAGAAATTTTGTGATTTTTAAAAACGTGAAATAACGAGAAAGAAAGAACTTGTTTAAAAAAATAGAGTTATAAAATTTTTATTCTTAAATTAAGAAATTTTTTGATATTAGACTTGTTTCAATATTTTCGATCATTTTATTCAAAGTTTTAGATCATTTTAAAGCCAAACTTACAATTAGATGAAAAATTTGAACTATTCTATGTTCGATTTGTTCAAAATCGAAAAATCAATCATCGAGGTCAAACAATTTAGGATAATTTGATTAGCTTCTGCCAGTAATTGGTCTGACAATTTATTATACTTGTAAAGAATGTTCTACTTAATATTAATCTATTTAATACTGAATAAATATATTTATTAAAATATTATATCTCTTGATTCAAAGAAATATTTCGCAAATTTGTAAAGAAAAATTATTTAATATTTGATATATATCTTTATATTTAATTTTTATTCGAATATAAAGAATATTTTTTTGTTTTTTGTTTTAATATTTGAAACTTCTAATTTAAATAATATTTTTTCAAACGCAGTAATTAATTTTTTTTTTTAATAAAAAAATAGTCTTTTTAAATATTAAAATTACAAATTATATAAAATTATTTTTAAATTTAAAAACTATACGACTTAATTGAAAAAAATATAGCTATAGATATTTCACTTTATTAAACATGTAATCATATTAATTAAATAAAATTAAATAATTAATTAAATAAACAATTTTCGAAATTAAATTTTGATAGTATTTTAAAGAAAACTTTTTGAAAAACTCATATCAAACTGTAGCTTTAGTGAAATCAGTTCTTAGAAGTTCTAAAGGAAATAAAAATTTTGAAATAACGAGAATCTTTCCGAGCGATATTTTTAATGTTTTAAACACTAGAGTTATTTCCAAAACATTTGATAATCCTAATACTTTTTAGAAGACACAATTTCAAAAATTCTCGTCAATTTTGGAAAGAGTAGAGAAGGTTTTTAGAAATTGTGATACAGTTAATAATTGGCTGAAACGATGAAATTTATGAAATTTGAGGAGGTGAATCGTAGAAATGATCGAGCTTCGTCAATCCTAAGATAGCAATTGGAAAAATTATGGAACGGTTTTTACGATCGCCAATACGTATACACTCGTGACTGACGACTTACACACGTGCGTTTAATGATCACAGGCGGATACTGAACTCGCGTAAGACTTGTTGACGATGCGGTAGAGCGTAGAGGGGAAGGGCGAGGCGAACGGCAGGATGGAAGCGAAGAACGATAGCGGCGTTCTTTGAGTTCCATGAATGCCCTAAGATGACCACGCTACGTAGTTACCAACTACGGTGTTATCTCCTCTCTCCGCCTCCAAGGCTTGTCAATACCATTTATGAAACAAACATTAACTACGATACGCATCATGGAAATGATAATCCAAGAAAAATCATCTCCCAAGTCGCCACCGAGAGTGAAAGGAAGATATGGACATTTGGACAATCAAAAATATATTAAAATAAATATCAATAAAATATCTATAACAAACTAAGTCGTTTTAGACAAAAACTAAATTAAATTATGTATTAAATTATACGGAAAAAACATTTCATTGGTGTAACTAAATTTTCCATTGTTTCAAGATCAGACAAAAACTCGGTTGGAAGAACAAAGATTCCTATAGGAAGTTTTTACACGGCCAATTGTCTTTAGTTAGTTATCTCAACTGAGTTTCATCGTTAGAGAATATTTTCGATTGTAAACACATAGAGATCTTATTTCTTGTCACCAAATTTTCATTTGATTTTCATTTGATTTGTATTCGGTTACACGAATTGAAATTTTTTTTACAAAAAGTAACAATCATGTTATTTTTTTTAAGAATTATAATAATCAATGCAACGAACGAATATAAATAAATAGGCTTATAAACTGAAAAAAATCTTACTTATTTTTTGAATTGACATTTTAATTCTTTATAAACTTTTAATGTTAAAATTAAAACAAATGATACTGATAAATGTTGACATGATGTTTAATAAATGTTTAATAAATGAAAATAAATTTTATTACCAGATTATTACTAAATTCTTTTATATCTTTCTCTGACTTTCTAGTTTTTTTTTTTATGAATTTAAATTTCCAGGATTTTTTTCGATTTTTCTATTTTTTCATACTTGTGATAATTCTGATTTTAACTTTTCTAAAGAAAGCTCTTATCTAATTAAATTATAATTTAATTAAAATTTCGTCAAATTTAATACAATTAATATTAATATTAATATATGAGGACGGGAATTTTTTAACAAAATAATTTATGAAAGATTTTCTTTAAAGATCTAATTTTGATTCCATTAGTTTTAGAATTCTAAAATTCAAAATGGAAGGTCCGATATATAATAGATAAAATTTTTAAAAAATGCGAGTATAGTAAAAATTGGTTTTAAAGAATTCTTGAGAACGCTAAAGTTGAATATAATCCGAAAATATCAAAATTAAAAAGAATTTAAATTTCATAAAAAAGGAGCTTGTCTTTTACAAAATAAAAAGGAAGAACTAATATACTGGTCACCTATCCTCAAAAAATTAAAGCATTATTGATAACGGCAAATTAAGAATATATTTAATATAATCATAATTTTCAATCAATTTATCATAAGAATATATTTATCATATCTCTTATAAACGATAATCGATTCATTTGTCCACACGTTTGTTCAAACAGTCATATTTTTTGTACTTGTATTTTTCTTAAAAAATTACACGTACATATCATCTCGATCATAAATGTGAGATATTAGTAAAGGCACGTGTAATTATGCGTACTATATTAAAATTACATTAAGTCATAAAAACATTAAAGTGCAATCGCGTGTAATTGCAGCTGTGTGCGAATGGTGTACCTCGTGACTCGGCTCCGGATATCGAGGTGAGCGATAGGCTCGCTGCGCGGTTTCGCGGATGGACGCGCGTGTGATTGGTCGAGAGTCGGTTCGTACTTGGAATCTCGGAGTGACGGACGCAGGTTGCATTTGTATCAAATGACGGATATGTTCAATTACAAATGCAAACTGGATTATAATTTAAGCGCCTCGTGCGAATCATGATTGTAATTACATAAAGTTGGTATCGCAATTGTATAATTGTATAATTGTATAATGTAGTGTAATAATAAAATAACTGTAAAGTTCTCATAACGCGTTTAATTGTACGCGGATTTTCAGTTACAGCAACGTGATCAAAATCAATCGCATTCCAATACATAATTTCGTGTATCTTTTGAAGTTTACAAATATAAAAAATGGATTATACAATAATAAATATATGTACTTTTGTAAACTTTAAACCTTTCCAGTTTTGAATCACTTATCTATTCCTTTTCCTTTTTCCTATTCTCTTCTTTAGCATAAATTTCTAAAATGATTCAGTAGAATGATTCTCTTGTGGATCATTTTTTTTTATCAATAATAAATATAATCATATATTATTAAATCTAAACGCAAACAAATTCCCCACGTTTATGGGCGTATCGGAGGAGAAGGAGATTCAAACCTTCCTCGAAATTTAAAACAAAAAACAAAATATTAATTAAATTAAAATTTACACCTAAAAACCTAATATTTTTTCTTATTCAAAATCAGGAATAAGAAGACTCTAAGCTCTAAAATATTCAAAAGAGCAATTTATTGACACAAAAAAAATTACTGTTTACGTGTTAACAGAATTGATAAAAACCCTTCTTTCTGAAAAAAATTCTAAATTGGCCTAAATGCTCGTGTTATAACAAATTAGAAAAGTTTTTAGAAAAGTTTTACGTTGATAATCCAGAAAAAACTTGATTTTCTTCCGATGTCATCGTCATTCCTAATCCATCGCGTGAAAAGCATACATCAAATCCGCATCCGCCGACGATGTTCCCATACACGCACGCATACGCTTCCATGAGCGCTATGCAAAGGTGCGCACGGGGAACGCAGCTGCTACAAAAATACGCAGTTTTGCTCGTCAGGGCTATCTCGCTTCGGGCGGCTTCAAAGGGAGCCGCTTTAATGTTATTACGATAATAAAACTGAGCGAGCAAGAGTGAACCCTCGGCTATAAATACCTCTCTTTCTTTACGTTGCGCGCGCGCGCGCGCGCGTGCGTGTGTGCGTGCGTGGTGTGTGTGCGTGTGCGTGTGTGTGTATGCGTACAGAGCGTGTACAATCGGGTGCATTAATATCATAATACGGTGCGTTCGCGTTTCCAAAAGTACTTCACGGCACGCGATTCATCTATTCTTCTTGATCCTTATGAGCACGAAACGATCGAGCCGATACGATCGGCTGCGGAAAAGTATTATTTGAATTACAAATAAATTTGTTAATTTTGAATAAATTATAAATTTATAATTATATTTTATTACAAATTTGATAAATTTGATCCGATATATTTTGATAAACTTGATTGTAGATTCGAGATTAGAGTTTGTAATCATGACAAGACGAACTGAAATAATTATAGTTATTTGATTGATCTTGAAAGAAACACTTTTGCTAAAATATCTAAAAATGTGGAAGTCGGAAATAATTTTGATGATATTAATACATCCTGTTATATACACGTGCAAGTAAGCACGCGGAAGCGCGGAAGCGCGACTCCTTTGCTGTCCCTGCGAACTTTTCCTACGATATATATATTCGTTTCACGTATGATCGAAAATATGCATTTGTCAACCCAGAGGCTATATTCCAAAATTGATTGTTCATACTGAAAATATATAGTGTACGTTACATAAACTATAGATTTTCAACGTTGGCACTAAATTTGGAATATAGTCAGAAAGTCACGCATAATTTATAATTCTGAATATTTGAATAATTACATGTTATTTAAATAATTTCAATGAATTCGGATATCAGATTTTTAGTTACATTTGACTATCTAAGTTGAATACTCGAAAAAATAATCAACGAGTGTTTCACTATTATAATTATATAGGAATGAAACCGATATTTATATATTAACAAAAGTCAATAGTTTGGCAAAGAGGTCAATACTTCTCTGCTGGAGAAGTGGATCAGAAATAGATAAAATTTTGTTATCTGTTTCCGGCGATCATAATTAATTATAATCTATTCGCTAAAATCAAATTATTTTATGTTAATGCTTTAATAAATAAGGATCATTATCATATTATTTTTATGATTTATACCAAAAGTAGATAATTGATTGTAAATAAAAATTTGTTCAAAGTTAATCCGCTTAACGATTTCACGCGAATAGCTTGCATCATTTTGTCGTTAATTAATAGCAACATTCCGCGGAAATAGAATCTGAACGGAAGTTCGTATCGAACCGACGTCGTCGTCGAATCCAGCAATTCGCGAGTACAAATGAGAAAACGGCTTCTAATTATGTCTCCTGCAGAGAGAATCGTATATTCTGCTCAGAGAAAAAGGGACCGGTATTCTCCCCTTGTCCTCCAGCCCGCTCTCCCCCCCCCCCTATTCACCTTCATTCTCTGCCTTCAATGTCGCGGTTCAGCGATTTTGATTCGCCTTATCGCTGCTAATGAGAGCCAGACGCGCGCTCTTTGATCTTCGATCGCTTATTAACGCTCGCTGCCATGAAAGGCTTTCTTTTTTATCTATCTGCCCTCATCTGAACTGCATTTAACATATCGCATTATCCATCACATTTCTTTAACAAAATTGTACAATTGTTTTGAAAACAAATATTACTGATAGTTATAAACTGTATTCTTAATAAAATCATATTTTCCATTACTGTAACTTTACGCCATGAAATTATCAATATATTAGCGATCGTTATTTTATACTATATAAAATATATTATTTAGAGATCATGTATTATTTTTTCTTTAGTTTTTTTTTTTTTTTTTTTTCTTTTTTTTTTTTTTTTTTTTTTTTTTTTTTTTTTTTTTTAATTTAGAGCTAGTTTGATTAGCACAAACATCTTTTATTTAAAAAAGATAATTCTCATTTTAATATACAACAATATACAAGTTATCATCGTATCTTTGCAAGATAAAGAAAAATCTTCTAGTCTTATTCTTTATGTATACGACACATCTTTTAGTACTTACTATTTATTATTTATTTACTATCTTTTTTGATGCAAGGCACAGAAAAAACAAAAATAATTCAATATTTTACAAATCAAAGTTACCCCTCGTTCTGCCTGCCGCTGATCCTCGTGGCCCATAAAATTCGGCATCGCCGTCAAGTTGTAACGCAATCCCCGGCAGAAGGATACGTTTAATCGCTCGCATTTGGCGCCGGTTTCAGGGTGCACGTGATTGATGCCCCATCCTCGGACTGACATTGCCGAAAGGATGAATACCACAACGCGTAGCACCATTTTTGATGTCGATGGCATTTATTCACATTTTATTTCGCATATAACGCGATAAATAATAACCATAAAATGAATAATAATAATGAATATGTATGAGTATTCGAATCACCTACGAAGGCAATCTTTACCACACTTGTAGTGACAATGTCACGTGATCACGATACACAATACCAATGCCATAGCCATCCCCGTCGGTGGTCGACGACCGACTGACGCGCTCACACGACGCAGATGCACCACACATTCGGGCGATTCCGTGCGCGTTCGGTCGCAATCTTTCCCCACCTCCTATTTTTTACCGCCAGAGCGGGCCCTATCATCTTGGCCCGACCGCCGAGGATTATGGGACCGATTCTGCAGGCATAATTAGGAACAAAGAGAGCGCTACCTCACCGATGAATTTCTGTCACTTTCTTGGAAATGCGGGATTGAGATTGCCCGGTTTAAGCTTTACACTTTTGTCTAGTTGTTGAGAATTTTTCTTGATAGAATTAATCTTGAGAAGATCCAGTATTAAGGCAGCTTTGAAACGTGATCGGCTGACTAATCCTACAATCTTCAAAATTTTGAGTTTATGAAACTTTAGGTATAATTAAACATATAAACATATAATTAAACATTATAAACATTTGTTTCTAATCCGTTTTTAAGAACTCGACGATTCGTTTCGTACTCGGCTTTCTTTTCTCATGAGATATACATTTATTTTTTAAGATTTTATTAAACATTTGAAAAAAAAAACATTAGATTCAATTTCTTTGTTGTTTGAAAAGAAAGGAATAACTGTATAAGGATAATATTTATAAACATAATATTTCATTATTTCTAAATGTAAATTTACGTTTCATTTTACATATATATAAGAAATAATTATATAATAACAGGGTGTCAAAATTTGTAAATTTGTAATATTTTATAAAACTTGCATAAAATTTGCAAATTTGTGATACTTTATAAAACTCGTAGTAAAAAATTTTTAAATATTTATAGGCTATAAATAAAAAAATGTTTAATGTTTGCAAAATTCTAATAAAATATCTAAGTACTCGTGATCAGTTTGAATAAAACGCTTTCCATAAAAATGCTACAAAGCGGATCTGAGAAATGTCGGTGGCGGTCCAACCACAAAACCAGACCTGGTATTTTATTCGGAAAAAAGCGCACGATGAATTCAGAACGGCGAGTCGAGTCGTTATGGTCTATCATTATGCGTGTTAACACGATTTTGGGCTTTCCACGGCCGGTCCCTTTGGGCCTTTTTGGGCTCGGCCAACATGGTTTGTTACGCCCATCGAAGAATGACCTTGGGTTACCACGGCGCAGAGGCTGTGAAAGAAGAATAAAGAAATCTACAATGAGAGAGAGACAGGTAGTTAAGCTTCGGCTTCCTTTGATGGAGTTCGTTCTCTCACCGTTTTCTTTTCCTTTCAGAAACAAAAGTGTTAATTATGCGTTTTGTACATGATACACGATTTTCTTTCCGATGAGCGGTATTCGCACGTGCGTGTGCGATATCTCTTTTCAATATTTAATCCAATATTTAATCCAATATTGGATCATCGAAAAATGAGAAAATTTTTAATCATTGCAATTAATAATAATTGGGATGTACACACACAAGTACAAGTACACATACGTGTACGTACATAGTGTGCGCGCGCGCGCCACACACACGCACACACACACACCATTTAAAATTATTATCTGTCATCTGTAAATAAAGTTTTACTAGCGTAATATAAGTCTAAAAGTGAACTGTAAGTGCACTTACCGCCATAATGAATGGGAACTGACGGAGGCAAAAGAATGGAAGAGGTTGAGACGGCGGCGAACCATCAAAGAGAATTGTAATTAGTCGCGCATGTACCGCATGCCCAACCGGAGCACCAGTTTTTAGTCTATCACAGATGCGGGAATGTCTGCTTTTTGCTTACTATTTCCACCTCAAAACCATCCTCTTTGATATACATCTTGGGAGCGTCGTGCAAAGCGTCTTTCTAATTGAGATTCATTTCTGCGAAGATTAGAACACGAAACAACGAAAAATTTTCAGAAAGCATACTTTATACGTCATTGATTTTAATTTATTTTATTAAATACTTTTTATGCGCGTAAAAATATTGATTGTAAGATATTAAAATTTACAATATTACTAAATGTGCGAAATTGCTTCATCGCTGAAATGTTAACAATTATTTTAAATATAATTTCATTAATTATTTACTTTAGCTCGGATCGCTCGGATCTTAATTTTGTTGTAAGTTATAGATTGATTAACTTTTTCTAAGGATTTCATTGACAGTTTCATATAATTCTTGAGATATAAATAATGATAATGAATAAATTTATATAAATGTTGAAAGTTTCATTTCCCATTTTTAAATTAATTGATATTTTTGATCGATATATATTTTGTCATTGTATTGTGATTTTATAATGACTATATAATGAACGTAATGCAATTAATTTCTATAATACTTTTTCATGAAAAATAAAATAGATGAACATTAAATTACTATAATATAAATTATATTTTAAAATTATTCTAATAATAAAACTTAGTTATAATATCAAAGACAATATCAATATCAATACATCAATTAAAATAATAATAAAATAAACTATTTTCAAATGTTAGAAAGTGTAGAAGTAAAACTTTTTTCCTTGTATTCTCATTCCTAAAAAAAATCTATCTATCTAACTTAAATTAACTCTTAATCTTATTTTAACATAAATAATCACTGTAATCTCTTAATTATATTAAACATCAACTTGATTATAATTGTTGATTATAACTTAAATTTGCAAATTATTACTTTGTCGAATTGATCCATCTATTTTTTTCGCGCGATCTTTCTCGATCAATTTCTTCATACATCAATTTAAATGCAATTCACTGACATAAATTTAAAAGAAATCATTTACCCAATAAAATTATATACTCATACGTTCTAGGTATTCTAGGTATTCCATCGCGCGTTGAATCCATCACGAGAGAGATGGAATACATTTGGTGATGTTGAGGGAGCGAAGAAAACGAAATTACATCGGTACAATTCCCGGGTCATTTATGTATCTGTCGGATACGTAAATGGTGCGGGAAAGTCTCTCATTACTCCGATAATAACCTATAATAACGTAAATTTAATGCGTGGCTTTAAGTACAGGCTATAGGCAATCGTTCATTGCCTTCGGCAAGTTTAATGAATTTTCTTTCGTTTTTCACTTTTTTGCTTCGTTTTTTTCTTTTAACTCTTTTTAACTTCAGATATCATATCTGTAGTATAGAAAAATTATTAATATTTGGTGTTTAATTTAGGTCGTTTTGACTTTGGCTAAAAAGCCAAGAAGCAATTGAATTTTCTCTCGTGTATATATATGCACGCGCGCGCACGCACGTGATATGTACATAGTGTGTGTGTGCGTGCGCGTGCGTGCGTTGTATTGATAAAAAAATTTCTAATGTTAAATGTATTTATTAAAATATTATATTCTTGAGTTAAAGTATTATTTTGTAAATTTATAAAATTTACATTTATTAATTTATTTATATAATTAATTATATATATATAATGATATAATATTTATGTAATTAATATTTCAAACAACAGAAGATCAAAGAAAGTATTACTCGGTGGACTTGATCTTAAACATCTAATAATCATTTATAGAATTTATATTTGTAAATTCGCAACAATTAAACTTCTTACATAGTCTTTTTATCCTTTTATAAACATGTATTTCTCTTTTACATATTCCAAAAATATATATTTATGGTACCAATATATCCTATTTTGATTGATCGACACAAATCATGATTTTACATTCTAGATAACGGCATCATTCACCATACTGGCAAGTTTAGCATGAAATCGTGTGGCGTAAAAGGGCTGCACAGAATCACACCTTTGAGATATGTGAACGACAAACCCTTCATTACTCGAGCAAGATGTAAAAGAGAATGAAGTGCTTTAGGCTAGTCTTGAGATGCTCTTCATATATATTATGCTTTATACGTACATTATACCATATGAATTATATGAAAAATTACAGCTCGTAATTCTATTCTAGCTTCTATCAGAAAGATCTAATCTCTTTTCATATTGAGATATCTAATCCTTTAATAATAAATATTTAATAAATATTATATTAAAATAGAATTTTGAATAAATAAATTTCCATAAAATTTTAAAAGTTAGATTGGGACTGGGAACTTTGGATCGCTTTGGACACCTCTTGGAACTCATTGAGAAGAGAGCTATTTATAAAACAAATTAATAATTAAAAATTATTAATTTATTCTACAAAAGATCTCTTCTCAGTGAGTTTCAAGATGTCCAAAACGTTCCCAGGATGTCTCTCGGATAAAATATGTTATATTGATATTATTCTACAAATAAAATGTTAAAAATTTTGAAATTTTTTATTTCTAGATATAATTTAAATAAAAAACTTTTATTCAATTTCGACTTCTTCGTGAAATTCTAAAATTTTAGATTATTTTTTATCTTCCACAGTTTTTGCAATTTCATCGCAGGACAATGATGAGACTCTCTAGAAATTGATCTTTTTTCCTTGGTCGAAACATTTTATTGGCACAGATCGAAACGTAGAGTATTATAAGTCGAAAAATTCCGAGTGCAAAAAGTGTTCGGCTCCATTCGGTCTCGTTCGTCATCGATTCGTTACGGGCGGCAAGTTTTGCGAAACTCAACTCGGGTCAGGATGTAGCATAAGAACTTGCAAAACTGTACAATCATGAATTCTTAAAAATATAAAATATAAAACAAAAATTAAGAAAAAAGATTATAAAATGAAATTAATTAGTTTTATAAACAGTGGAAATAATTATAAAAAAACGTAGAGTTCTTAATTTAAAAATAGAGAAGATTAAATTATAGTATATATATATATATATATAACAACTCACTATTTTAAATATTCGCATATACATTGTTTTAACAAAAGTAATTAAAAATATTGTAATAATTAAATTTCGTTTCTCCGAAATAAATGGTCCACATTATTATTTTTTTTCAGTGTCAATTGCGAAAATACGCAATAACAATTAGAAATTCTTATTTTAAAAATTTAAAATTATCTTGATACGATCTTAACACTATTATTCAAGATTCCTATTTCTTATTTACTTTTCTAAATACCGAATGTATTTATTAATTTAAAACCAAATAAATTCGCCCACAACAATTTTTCCAAAAAATATGTTGCTTTCCAAATTCATTGGATGGGAAATTTAAAATAAGTCTACAAATATTAAGTTGAATTTAACATTTCCGTAATACCGCATTAATAAAAATTTAAGCCTTATAAACATAAACATAAAGGTACATAATACATTAATCACAAAATTATATCGCAAAATTATTTCAATATTCAACAATTTTATTTATATGAATTTCTGGTCTGTGTTGTTGGTTTACAAAGGGAAGAAAAAGAATGATAGATGTTGCGTGAGTTGAGAGTTACTAATGGTGACCGCAATATCTCCAAGAAGTTGAGCGTCACTACGGATCATTATGTGATGGCGCGAGACCGCAGGGGTAGGGCAGACGAGTCCATCGAACAAACCGAATCTCCCCTTCACGGCTTAAAAAGGTCAGCTGAAGCTGCCGCACTCGTCTGTCTTGTCTTCGATCTTCCACTTTCTTCTCTTCTTATCCATTCCCCCCTTCCCAATGTTCCTCCTTGTATCCTTCTACCTTACGTCGCCCTTTCGTTCCGGCCGCCGCCATTCTCGGCCGTTATTATCGATAAATTTTATTTCTCTCGCTTGCGTTCCATGAAATTATAAAGTTTCGACGGTGGCAGGATCGATTTTCTTCATTAGGAAACTCTAAAAGTACGTCTCGCTCCTCCGTCCACTGTAGAAGGAATTGTGATCTTCTTTATCCGGCAACAATCCGAGTTCGATTGAGTCGCGATTGCGGATCTTGTGAGTATCAATCGCGTAGTCATAATTAAATGTGAAATTTGAAAATACATAGGGAGATATGAGATACTCTATAAAATTGCTTGGTGATATCGCAAAGTATCAATAGATACTGTCTCTCGCCAAGTGCGCGCGTCAGCATCTCACGAGAGCGAGTGTTTTTTGTTTTTTGTTTTTTTTAAATGGAAATTGACTAGTTGAGAGTACCTGATATTATCAAATTTCAAAAAGGGCTGAATTGATCAAATTTTTAGTGTGTTTAATTGATAGTTTGGATTCAAATTGCATCAGAAAAATAGGATGTTAGTTTTGGATTAAAGACCTCGGATCTAAGTTAATCAAAATATCTTTTTTAGGAGCATCTCCTAGAAACTCCCTCTACAAGCTTATGCGCCGTCTCTCTATATTATTGTATCTATGGACAAAAGAGTGACTGATGGTAAGACAATAATTACTTTTACCGACATGTATCGCTAAACGGATGATAATCGATTTTTAAGAAAATTGTAGACAGTTTCGAAGTGTCGGGAGGAGTGAGGTGTGTGTAGCCTGTAAAATAATGGCAGAAGAAAAAAATGACAGGTAGCGAATATTTATCATCGATAAATCAGTTGTTATGTATTTCTTCATGTATATTTTACACATGTGTATCTGATTTTTGTCATTTATGCGTACTATATTGAGTATCAGTGATTGAGGTTATATTTTCACCGTTCTGCTTTAATTGTTGACAAACAATTAGAAAAAGAATTGATATTTTGAGATTCAAGAATTCGAAATGAAAAATGGAATTAATATGTAAATAATTAACAATTTCTTAATTTTTTTTTATATCGGTAATGGAAAAATTAAAAGTCTAACAATGTCAGAATCTTTAATAGTATAAGTATTTCAAAAAGTTCTATATAAATTTAAAAAAGTAAACCTTAGGAGACTAAAAAGATTTAAAGAATTTAAGTTAATGAATTTAATGACTTGAAAATTAAAAAAATTAAATTGAATGATTATAAATGATAGATTATCATAATTATCATAATTATGATAGGTCTACTACTTGCAATTATTCAATTTCTTTTTTCTTATATTGATTACACACATACATACATGCGATAAAGTACTAATTAAAAATAAATAATTTAGTCCAACTGATAAGCCAGAACAGATAGATATTACTGAAGAAAAGAAGGTAAAGCCTGATGACAAGGCTAAGCAAAAACTTAAACAGGATGAAGCAATGGAAAAAAACAACATACAAAGTAACAACAATGAGAGTGGCAATTGTTATTGGTAATTATCTGTAATTAACTTTTACTGCCTGTTTCATATTGTGATTATGGAATTTACTTTGCAGTGGCAAGGAAAGGAACCTGAATATTGTTGAGTTACTTTGTGCTAGTTGTTCTCGTTGGTTCCATGAGTCCTGTATTGGATATCAATTGGGAAAGCTTGTACCATTCATGATGAATTATGTATTTGTTTGTAAAAACTGTTCACCAACTGGTCTAGAAAGCTTTAAAAAAAATCAAGCACGTGAGTATCAATTATAATATCAATTTAAGATTTTCCAACTACCCAGTTATCTATTATGTTTTGCACATTGATCATTTTTCAGCATTTCCTCAGATGTGTGTGACGGCAATCGCAAACCTGCTGCAAATGTGCCAAAAAGAGAATGAGCAGAAGACTCTTTTCCATAAAGATAGAGACATCATACCATTTATCGATTGTCATTGGGAGAGCATGACCACGATGCCTCGCAGAGCCACTCAATCCTGGCATGCTACGGTACTTAATGTTCTTTCATTGTTAATTACACTGGACTATGTTTGACAACAGTGATACAGGATTTTCTCACTTTGTAATCAAATAAAATTGCAACGATAAATGATCAGATTTCACAATTCTTGTCTTATCTCTTATCTCTGATAAATACTTAATCTTTTCTAGATTCACAGAGCTTTACTTAAAGACATTGGAACACTATTTACGATAGATGAGACTTCGTCTGAAGGTCAGCTGTTCGGACTGGCGAGTTCTGAACTCACATCAATTAAACCGAATTACGAAGCAATGATCAAGAATGGTCACCTCCGAGCGACAGAGATGGGCATACAGCATGTTGGTATGTATCTATCACTTTGATTATTGTCAATTTCACAAGAATTTTATTAGTTTTATTAACTTGAAACTATATTAACTTTTCTATTAAAAATCTGTGGAAGAAACTAACACGCTCGAAAAAATTTTAATGGAAGGTTTATATCCCTTTTTTGCATTCAAAGGAATGTAACACAAAATTCGTAATCGTGCCATGTATCTTAAATTTTGCGCTAGATATCCACGCGCGCAATCACACACATGGACACACACACGCCCATTTAAATCCTATGTATTTTGGAATTAAAATTTTTGATCATGTCGCTAATTAAAGCTTCAATTTCCAAATTTTTTCGACGTAGTATAACTAGAACGAGTTTTGTGATCATAACTACATATATGTACATCTGTCACTCCTTATCTTATCACAAGCGCAATCGTCAACTCGCTATCAGGAAACTACTCGAGTTTAAATCATTACAGAAATCGAGTAAACCTCTTAATAAACTTTGCTCTAAGACATTTCGCTATAAGACCGCAACGTTCGATATTGCTAATCATGTCATTTTTATATCCATACAAGGAATTTATTATTGTAAGATTTAATGAATTTAAAGAAAAATTAATTATCCATTTTGTTCCATATATTTCGAATTGAATTTATTTATTTAAAATGAAATGGCGACTAAAAAAGAGGAAGGATTAAGAACAATGGTTGGAGAGCGGGAAATATTGCGAATGAAATAAATAGTAATATATTAAAATATCATAATGGAACATTCAGTACCACTTAGCGGAGGATTGCGAGGACGTAACGCCAAACGAAAGTTGCCGGGCGAAGCTACAGGCACAGGTTCTGGAAAAAAAGGCAGAGGATCTGACATGACGACTCCCAAACTGCCGGCTCATGGTTATCCACTCGAGCATCCCTTCAATAAGGATGGCTACAGATATATTTTGGCAGAGCCCGATCCTCATGCTCCTTTCCGACAGGTATAGTATCGCTTCCAACTATCGATTCTTCTAATAATTATTATACAAGTTACATATTACATATAGTTATATGTAAGCACTCTGTTAATTTTCCCTTCTTGCAATTTCTATTTTATTTTATTTTGACAAAGTTTCTGTGTTAAAATAACAGAAAAGAACGGGCAAGTAGTTTCTATGTGCTAATTAAAAAGTTACAATTATGAACTTTAGGCAACAATGCTTTAAACGATTTTTTTAAACTCGCCAGGAATTCGATGAAAGCAGCGATTGGGCTGGTAAACCTATACCTGGATGGCTTTATCGAGCTCTTAGTCCAAGCACGGTTTTGCTTGCATTGCATGATCGTGCGCCACAGCTCAAGGTTGCTGAAGATAGGCTGGCAGTTACCGGAGAAAAAGGATATTGTATGATCAGAGCCACGCACAGTACGTGAGAATAATGTTTCTATCAATTTGTTAAGATAGTAATGTCTTTTTTTCTTTCTGGTTCAGAGACAAAATATTAAATTTTGTCCGCGATTGTATATTGACATTATGCATAAAATTATATATTATTTTATAAAATTATGATAGTGCTATAAGTTATAAAGTTATAATATAAAAATAATAGTCTAATACTGTCATATACAGAATGTCTATCTGTGCATCCAAATCCGAGCATCCAAAGAAATCCAAATATTTTCGCCATTTCACATAATAAAAGGAAACATTACTTGTAAAAATTATATGATTTGTAAAGGGAATATTTTTATTAAAAAAATTTATATATAAGTGGAGGCGCTCAGATGATAATTCTAATGCAATTTTTCTCTTTTATAAAAAATTTTATTTTGTTCAGATGAAATTTTATTGATTTCGTTCAATTCATAAAAATAAAATTTAATTTTATTCAAATAAAAAAATTCTTATTTGTCTCCATATTTTGTTATTTTCAATGTATGTTTTAACAATATTTCCATTATTTTATCTGTCATATTTCATGCATCTAGAATGTATATTAATATATATTGATACTATAATATATATTGATTGACGAAAGAAAAAGATACTTTATAGGGATATTTTAATTACATCTGTGGATAAATTGTAGGTGTGAGTAGAGGCACTTGGTATTGGGAAGCTACTATTGAAGAGATGCCAGAAGGATCTGCAACGAGACTTGGATGGGGACAAGAATATGCAAACTTGCAAGCTCCATTGGGCTATGATAAGTTCGGTTACTCATGGAGATCCAGGTATCTTAGCCGTGAAAAAATCTTAATTATTAATTAGTTCTTTATATATTAGAGATTTCATCTTTTTTATATTATTTATTTTGAAATGTATAATATATAAAATATATAGCAATAGAGATAATATCAATTTGTTAAAGAACGTTACCAATTTAAAAAAATTCTTGTATTATTCTTTTGTAATTTGTTAATAACAGAATAATTTTTCTGTTAGTCTTTTTATATAATACAGAAAATATTGTATCTTGTCGAATTAAAATATTCGTTTATAGAAAAAAAGAAAAACTTAATAATTTTTAGAAAAGGTACGCGATTCCACGAAAGCCGTGGCAAACATTATAGTGACGGTTACGGCGAGGGTGATACTTTGGGTTTCCTCATAATTCTTCCGGATACACACGATGCATCGCATATTCCGAATACTTATAAAGATAGAGTGAGTATAATAAATAAAAAAATATTAAGTTATATAATTTTAAATATTATTTTTGAAATAATTCAATTATATAATGTTTGTACGGATTAGCGTGTCTTGCATTTAATTTAAAAATAAACTCATTTTAAAAATATATCTAAAAAATTATTTTGTATTTTCCGATTTGTGAATTAGCCCTTAGTGAAGTTCAAAAGCCACTTATATTATGAAGAGAAGGATCAAGTGCAAGAAGCTTTGAAAGCTCTACGGCCCTTGAAAGGTAGCAAGATTATATATTACAAGAATGGAGTCACTCAAGGCGATGCTTTCATAGATATCAATAAGGGTGCCTATTATCCTGGAATCTCGTTATATAAAAGCGCGATGGTATCTGTAAATTTCGGACCGAATTTTAAATATCAACCAACAGATATTACATTCAGAGGTGTAAGTAAACTTAAGTTTCTTACGTTTAATGTTGCTACTTTATAATTGTAAACCAAATAACTTTTCTTATAGTCAAACATAGCTAAAAATATTAAAATAATTATAGTATTAAAATATCAAAATAATTCAACATTTTTACACACACACACACACACACACACACCATATATTAAATTAGAATTAAATAATTTATATATATATAATTATCTAATCATCTAATTATACTTAATTTTAAATTTTAACAAAGAACATTAAGTTTTTTATATTTATTATTATAATAATTAATATATATGTATATTGAATATTCTTGTTGATTAATTAATAAAGCCATATAATTACTGTAGATTGCACGAAAAAGCAGAAGAGGCAATAGCTGAGCAGTCAATGGCGGATATACTTTACCTCACTGAGAACGAAGGCAAATTAAGACTGGACACATTCGTGTTATGACATTAAAGCATCTTTTTATTTTGTCATTTTTGTTGTACATTTTTGTTGTACATGCAGCTGCTATTTGCAGGGATTGCAGGGGATTAGCACAACAATATGTGACCTAATCAAAGTGAGGAAAAAAAAATAAATCGTATAGGATTTTATATTTGTACTTTTTATTTGTAGTATTTAATTTGTGTATTTACTTAAAATTCTCGTGTTTTTGGCACAGGAAAGTAAATGCAAAGAAGAGAAGAATAAAAAAACATTTGAACCAATTATTTACAACATAATTTTTCATATAAATTTCGCATTATATGCTTTGTTATATTGTCAAACCAAAATCCTGCAATTAAAGAAATTGAAAAGATAATTCTAATGATATTTTGAAAAAATGAGTCCTAAGTTAAAGTTAAGAAAATAATATTCAAATTCAGATAATATCCTGAACTTTTAAATATTTTAATATTTGATTTCTAATCTAATCTAATCTAATCTCTATGATTTATGATTTTAATATTATGATTCAAATATTTGAATTGTATTAAATTCTACATTTCAATTTTGAAATTAAAAGGCTTTTTAATTTCATTTTGATTTTGTTTGATGTATAAATGAATGATAATTACAATGACAATTACATAAATATTGATCTCATTTAATAAAAGAACAAGATTATTTATAGTCACGCATGGTATATGTTTATGTGATAATTATATAAATTATTTTTACATAGCTTATATTATTATCTTCATATAATTAATTGTTAAATTATAATATGTTACTTTTTGAAACCACCCTTACAAGCAGGACTTGCAGCCACCGTTTTATCACTTGTTTTCCATTGCTCTGGTGTTTTCGCCTTGAACACATTATGATAATATATATAAAAATGATATTTTTCATTTAACTCATTTATCTTGAATTTAAAAAAATAGAACGCAATTTTTTCGCTCTAATAGCAAAAAACTAGTTGATAAATAATAAACATTACTTACTACTATTGATAGAGCATGTAAACCTCCTTCAAATTCCGCTTGCAATAACTGGTTTATCATCCGATGTCGCTAAATTAATAATTGATTCAAATGTTCTTTTTTTATTTTATGTATGAAATAATATCTAGTCTTTAATCTTATGGTTATTTAATATTTATAGATGAGAATAATTATTTTCTATTATTTTATTTGCTTTGAATATAATATTATTACTTTTCATATAATTTCTTTTAACATAATTTATGTAAATTTTATTTAACAATCAAAATAATTTTTTATTTGAAGTAAAATATTTAATAATGCAAACAAAAAAATTTCCATCTTTGAAATTAGAAGTGTTTCGTGTAAATTTTCAAATACTAAAAACAAATCTATCAAATTTATATATTATATCTCTGAATTTTAAAAATAATAAATTTTAAAATTTAAGGAAGCATATGAAAGAGCATTCAAATATATGTAAAAAAGTGCATAATGCATACTTTTTTTTATATATTTTATTGCATAAAAAAGTATATAATTAATCATTTATAACTAAATAAAAAAGCTATAAATATCGTTATGTTTGTATAACATAAATATTGTATCCGAAAATTTGAGTTTAATTGTTTCTTACTTTCAGAAATTACTTACAATTTTCATTTTTTATCGGACATAATCAAGTTAAGTGTGATCAGATTTATTAGTATCTAAAAATTTACATAAAACAGTTTTTGTTTCAAGGACATAAAAAAATTGTTTGCAGAGTAATATAAATAAAGAATGCTAGAAATTGAGAGATACCTTGATTAATGGTTGCTGCTCAAATATCTCTGACACAATCACTACCTTAAAGTGTGTCTCAGAGTTTTTGGGTACATTATGCATATAGGACTCATTAATGACATCGCAATGTAGAGGTTTCAGTACAGCCTCCAACTTCTTTCTGATTGAACTCTCTATGGGCTTGTTCAACACTTCACAACTGCTCATGTCTTGCTGATGAAACGTGCTATAATCTATTATTACTTTTTACTTGATTAACATTTATATTTATCATTTTTATATGGATAATATGTACTAAATAAAAACTTTTAGAATAAAATATTTGAATGCTAAATCTTCCAAGAAAATGAAATAAGTATCAGTTATATGTTGATTGTTATAACAGAATATTGAAATAGTAAAAATTATAAATACCAATTTGAAAGTGACAGCAAAAAGGCATATCTTGAATATAAAAGGAATATCTATACAAAGTTTCTTTTTCAAAAAAAAAAGTTAAAAATAAGTCAAGTTTAGTCAAGTGCATCCTTTATAACTCTTATAATTATTTTCTGTGCAAAAAGTCTATTTTATAAAAAAAAAAATTTCATATAGAAAATAAAGTGTTTTATCATTCGTATAAGAGGGGAGTATATACAAGTTTTGTAATATTATTTTAATATGCTCATACACATGTTACAATAACTGCTATAGACTACTACAACAATAAAATAATATAATGGTAGAATAATGATAAATGTTTGTGACAAAAATATATATAGATACTTAAAATTATAAATATATGTAACTTCAAAATTATATGAAGGAAGTCACAAGGAATTAATGAACTTTTGTCTATATATGTATTTTAATGTGTGAAACATATGATAATGAAAATCGTCATACGATATGTGAAGAAAGCAATAACAATTAAAAGTGACATTTTTAAGGTTAGAAAATCTTTACGCTGTCTTCGAATATAACACATTTTTATATTAGTAATTATAATCACTGTTTTGATTACTCCGTCGTAAATGTAATACACGAATTACAAGTAAGATATATGTACAATAATAATAAAGATACAAATTATTATTGTGCAAATTTAACTTTGGTTAATTCAGCTAAATTGACTTTTCATCTTAATCTCATTTTAAATTGTAAAAAATGTGAAACAATCGACTTTAAATACTCACTTTTTCTAAATATTAACTTTATCAATCTTGCTTTATGCATTTATTTACACCTGTAATACACCTGTAATAGAACTAGTCTCTTGTAAAGTCACAATATCAGAATCAAACTCCCTGTTATTCACCTTCCCAATCGTCGCTTTTGATGAATTCTCGCGCGCGCGACTCGTGGTTGATTAGTTTAGTAAAAATGTTTTTTTAGGAGGCAATTTTTTTTACTAGGCAATTTCTAGAAATTTTTTATTTGATTGTACTAATTAGTGTCAGTAACATCATTGTCATCACATACAACAATCAGAATCAATCGTTCTGATCATTTAAATTCAGATCATTTAGAGAATTCATATATTTTTCATCGAATGGTATAATTATATCACAAGAATTTTTAACATTTACTTTAAGATTCAAATAAAAAAAATTCGAATTGTATATTCAAAAAATTGAATAATTCAATTTCGAATAGTTAAAGCACTTCGAACAATTCGAACTTATGCAATGATTATCTGTAATGTCAATTCATTATGTTCGAAATTCAGATAAATAGTAGTCAGATGGTAAAAAATATTGAAATTATTTGTATGTTCTATGTATTGAAAATAAAAGGACAGTTTTAAAAGAATTTTTCTTTTTTTTTAATTTCACGCATACTCTATTGATTTGATGACAATGAGTCCAAACAGTTCAAAATTTTTTATTTAAATATGTGTAGGAACAATAGATTTTTGTATAATTATGCATTTTATATATTTCAAGGCATAGAATTAGAGCTATATAAAAAAAAATTTCCAAAAAATTTCTAAAAAATTTCTAAAAAATTGATGAAACCTTAATATCAAATAGTTATGCTCTATTTTCATGCCGCACATCATCAAAGATAGGGGAATGGTAATAAGTCGTAGAATTAAATACTATTGTAGTCAAAAAATAGATAAAATTCTTTTCATTTGTAATATCTTTTTGCTTCTTTATTTCATGTCTTTATTGTTGGGGAGAGAAAGCTGCGCCGCTTAATTTTTTTTCTCATTATTACAACTATAACATTTCAACGAAATATTAATCGAACGAGTGACTAGGTGACGGGAGATGCGTCTCTCCCGTCCTGATATTTGTTATTATTTACAGAAGAAACGGACAAAAAGAACAAAAACGGTTTGCTGTACATTGTACAAATTAGATCTCTATGGTACATTCATGTTTAGGAGGACATCCATAACACGACATGCGACAGATTGATTCTTTTTGTTCTTTGTATGCGCGAAGCAATTAAATCAACTACAATTAGTTACATAAACAAAAAGATACAATTCTACACAAAAATTTGATCGCTGAGTGTAAGCGCACCGAAGATCGTTCATGCATTTTAATACATTATCGCAGACATAATGTTGAAACTGATCTTGTGCGATGATCTATGTGAAAGCAGTGTTCTGAATTTGAATACAATAATAATATCAATTTCATTTTAAGTTTAAATTTCTTTATGTAATACAATTTCGCGATAACACGCCAATTTATGATAATATATATTCACATTAATGTCGACATCACCGATAATTGATAGCATCACCTGAATTGATATGTCGTTTATTTTTTTTTTTTTTTAACTAAATTGCAACGTAACCAGGTGATATATTCAATTATTCATAAGTTTTGCATGAGTCAAATTTTATCCTTTTATCCTTTATTATTTTCTTTTTTTCCTCAACGTCTTAACAAAGTACTCATAGATTGTCATAAGTTATATAATAATATATCGTGCGGAATCACATATTTTGATATATAAAATTACAAATTCTTTTCTTATCCTTTTTCTGAATGATATCAAAAGATTGAAATCGCAAATCAATAAAACAAGTCGAGATAAATCCGTCGCGAGGAATATTGCTGGTTACGCCCTTAAAAGTAATTCTGAAGATCGACGGTTCACTCATTATATTCTATTTACATTTTACAATACTATACCGAGGATCACGATCTTCAGGATTTCTGGTCACTCGCAAAGTACTGCTAACGTCCACAGAATTTATATAGTGTGAAGATAAAAATCTATTACGTGAAATGATGAAAAACGATTAGAATAATTGAGTAATCATTTTTATATTCCAAATTATTGTTATTAAAGTTGCATAAATAAATTTAAGTAATTTGCAATAATTCCTGAATTCATTACATACAAATTTTCAATCAATTTCTGACACTAAAAATGATTTAATCACATTTTCTTACACGTTTCTTTGGTAGAAATAAAATTTTGCCTTTAAACATGTCCTAAAAATTGAATAATTTTAATAAAATCTGCAGAACTTCTCCGATGACCGAATGTCATCTACGTCGATTTCTTTAAATAATTAATTAATCACTGACGCAAGAAGCTCTTTTTACAGTGTGTATCACATCACTTAACCCTTTAATGATTTGATAATTAATACATCAAATATATGATAATGTTTGATTTATAAGTGAAATTAAATCATACATTAAAATTCTCGTTTGTCAAAAAATATTCCAGCTATTGTGTGTCATAATTCTTAACAATTTTTAAATAAATTGTATCGAATATTACCACGTATTTAATTAAATAAGTAATTAAATATTTGTATATAATCATCATCATAAATACTTTTCAAAATTTTCTTTAAGAGAATGTGACATGACTTTAAAAAAAAAAAAATAATCGTAATACTTTACAATATTTTATTTGTTGAATATACATTAAATAGCAGTCAAAGGGTTAAGTGAAATATCACGTCAGTGCTACAATAAAGCTGACTCAATATGAGCCGTCGTAATAGTTCGATAATTTTAAATTGGTCTATTTTATTGTTTCGAGGCGCCGCATTTCGTTTTGACGACGGGAGGCCCTTTCAGATTCTCAAAATTCTGGAACCTCCTTCAGACCTGAGGATTTTTAGGAACACCGAAGTCCATTCATTGATTAAATCATACATCCCGCGGACTTTTGTCCAAAAGAGATCACTACATCTTATTTACACAAGTCGATGCCGACGGCCTCGAAAACCAATTACGGGAGCGAGATAACAGGCGATCGATTTTATTCGTACAAAGCAAACCGAGAGTCAACTGTCCGAAAAGAAAAACGTCACATACGAAACGTGTATAAAGCTAAAGTGGAAGTTTACATTATAGTTCCATAAGAATTACTTTAAATACAAAGTTATACATTCAAACAGGACTTTTTCAAATCATGTCATCCGATCTACTTTAGCTTCAAACGACATTTTATATATTTATAGTTTGACAAGGTACAGATTGTCGCCAGTTTTGTTGTACTATCTCGCTGCTGGAGAGTAGTACGATGACACACACAGCAGCTGCGAGTTTTCCCATTTTCTTCCGCTATACGACTAGTTTGCACTTTAATAGGAAAATGCGTATACGCTGTTTTTCTTTCTTAATAAATAATACTTAAAGTTGTGAATTTCCCAGAATCAGAATCGCGACTTTCAACTCCGTCGAGGCTGTAAATCCCGAGTTCAACCCGAGTTGACTAAAAGCGAACTTTTGAGAAATCCTGAAAGCTTGCCGAATCATCGATCGCACGCCACTCGTACCTTCCGTAAGTTCAGCCGACGCGCTAATACTAGTTAACTACCCGAAGTACGGCGATCTGTCAGCTATCGATTAATTGCGCATAATATGTATATATACGCAGAAGCTACGAGGTAACTCGCTTTGTCGCACCCATATATCGCGGTTTCTTCGCGGTATCAGTCTCATGAAAAGGCGCTTATGGAATAAAAGAAGGCACTTGATTGCGTCCTCTTCAGGCACTTTCTGATATGTCGACTATTGCCAGACTATTGGCTCCCCGTATACCTGCATCCTTCCCCAAACTTTCTTTCACAGTCTCTTCATATTCTTCCCATCAAATTTCTTTTCCATCCTCCATTGCTTGTCTTTATTAGCTGTCATTCATCTTTATATTCTAGCAACTTATGTAGCGATAACTATGTTTTTCTCTTCTCTTTTTAACTTTTTTGACTAGAGCCTCTTTTTACTTTTTACTACTGTCCTCTTCGTATTTTTTATCCATCTTTTATTAATAAAATTTTAGAGACTCTTCTTTTGAATTTTCAGGCTCTCAGGACGGACTTTTGGCCTATCAATAGACGTAAATAGTCTTCAGCTGATCTTTCAGTTCGGGGGGAATGGCACAGGTATCTGTTTCTGCTTTCCGCTTCACCAGTCGACGCCAGCGTCCACCGAGGTTTTTGCGGAAGCCCTTTGCAAATCCAGGCCGATCTGATGGTAATGCGTGTACAAGGGTATCCTGCAACATCAGAAAGGCTCTATTTTATTTCACACTATTAATCTATACATAAATAAATTATGTAGTTGCATATCAGATATGCAAAAATATCATTCATAATCTACTCAAATAGCACGCAAGATATTTCAAAATCTTCAGAATACTTAAGATGTCATAAGGAATGTTTTTAAAATATATCCTAAGTACATCTATAGGATAATCTTAGTATGTTCCGTGCTACTTAGATAGTATAATATAAGTAAAATAATTATGTTTAAGAAAAAAAAAAAAAAACACACATTTTTCTATTAAGATCTAAAACTAGATCTTAAACTGGATGTCATATTTTCTCGCAAATTTTGAGTCTTTAATATCGATTATTTTTATCGTTATGTGTTATAATTATAACACTAGATTAAAATATCCAGATCAAAATTCAAGGCTTTCCGCTTAAAATTGATCGAGAAAAATGAGACTTGTAAAATATGATCTTTCGATAATTCTTCCATTCGCTTGTCGCCTGTAGAGATCGAACATTTCTCACTGAACTAAAACAAACAATATTTTAGAGAGAGAATAAGTTCTTCTCTTAAAGTTCGCCACGAATTCGCTAGAATCGCTCGAATCCGATGTCCCGCTAATAGCGCAGACGGAGGAACGACTCGACAACAGCTGCACACTGCTATTCGGAGCCCGGCTGGTAAGCGACGGTAGGTAAACGCCCACCGGCGCTAAATTTAGCATCGAAAGCTGCACCCATTTCGCTGATATATTTACATACATTCTCTACTTACATTCTGTAGCTTTATTATATCTCACGATATATAATTTTATAACGACAAATTTAGGGAAACTGCGGACTGTAAAATTAATCTGCGATCATCGTGGGAAAAATTAATCTGCGATCATCGTGGGAATTCGTGTTAGCTCATTAGTATTCATTTATTATTAATGAATTACAAATATATATTATTAATAATTATTTTCACTCATACGTCTGATGCCGTAATGATCGACATCAATGACGATTAACAGAAACAAATATGTCGTATTATATCGATTTAAAAACCTATCGAATCGATCGTCGTAAAATTATTAGAAATTACTATTTCGAGCGATCTAAATAAAATTACTTTTCTAATTCCCTTTTTCTAAATAAAGAAATTAATTTTCCTAATTGTCAATTCTTCACGCGAGCTTCCCTTCTATCGCAAGATAAGATCGATAAATTACGTCGTGACCTAATCGTAGATGAGAACAATTTTTTTAATAAAAAATTTTAATGTTCCATTATTTTTTACATAATAACATCGAATCAAAGGAATCATTAAAAAAAAATAAAATAAATAAATAAATAAGGTCATTCTATTCGTCCCGATCGAATCTACTTCTTCACGTTAGGTTGGAGCGGTAAAAGGCGCAGTGCAGCTGTAGCCAATCAACGATTGCGACTCGAATGGCGGGAATAATCGATCATCCGCGAAGTAGTATAAAACTGCGATGGCCGCAGGTCACTGTCCCGACTATCGATTGATGAAACGGTCTTTTATATTTTCCTTGCTAGGAAAGACGGAAATCGAATAATTATGATTATAAGGGATTGTTGATACTTCTTTTGATAAAGTTCTTTTCGATCGAATTGTGGAAGAACAAAGAACATAATAAAAGAAACTGTATTTTAGATTTTATTATTGTGAGAATCTCTAATGTGAGAATATTATATTTCGATTTCTTAAATAGAACTGTTTAATTTTAAGGAAAGGAATATAATTATCTCTATAAATCCAAAAAAAGAAAATTATCGAGCATTTAAATTTAAAATCCTATCTGCCGATCCTAATGCCATCTATTATATTCTGTTTTTTAAATTCATCTCGGTTTATCACATTGATTTGTAAATAGTTGAGCTTGTTTTATTACGTTACAGTGTCCTAATATATGTTATATCCTATTTCTTACTTCAGCTCAATTTACTTTATTTAAATTTTAAATATAATTATTTTTTTTAATTTAATATCAAAGCTTGAAATTGGAATTGTCAATAAAGACAACGTGTTATGTCCAGTGAAGAATGAAGAAAGAAAGCCGCAAGACTCATTATTGCACGTTTTTGTCTGGTGAAAAACATCATCCCTACGGCTGTATCTATCGCTTTCTACCCACGAATCTTTTTTCGGATGTCTCCGGTCAATATATCGCGCGTCCTCGAGTCATTGGACAACGTAGCAGGGGTAAACCGGTAAAATCTGGTAATACTGGCTCCACCAAGCCGGTTAGTCAGTTAGAATTGTGACGGTTAGATAAATCAACCGATAGATCGCGAGGAATGATCAAGAGCGAAGTTAGTGCCATTGACTCAAGTTAATTCCATTTTATCCATTTTATCGAACAAGGTGATCCAAAAAAGTGCTTAAAGAGATTTCCATATTAGATACTGTCATCACGGATACGCAACATAAACAAAAAATCTAAACATTCCACAACATTATTTTTGCATCTCTTATATTTTCGTAAATAAAATAATCAATTTTGCAATAATTACACCAAAGTTAGAACCGATAAAATTTCAGTATTTTTTATATGTAGGGATTTTCATTTGTGTTTATTTTATATTATATTAAAATTTAAAGGAGAGTTTGATTTAGATTAAGAATCTATAATTGTACCATAAAAATTATAAAATGCATTCTAAATCTCTATGTGGATAATTAAGATTAAGAAAAAATTTGTTTCTTGGTCATTTTGTTTCTTCTTTTTTAAAATATTGCGAAAATGAATTGAGAGTATAGAAGATTTTGAACATAATAAAATATATATATATATATATATATATATATATATATATATATATATATATATATATATATATATATATACTATTAATAAACATCTAAAATAAACATCTGATAAATTAAATATCTAGGAGAGAAAAAAAATTACAATATAACGCATCGGAACAAAATATTCTACATTACGATATGAATTTTCCAATGTGTTTCCAAATTTCTTTGTATTTCTTCAAAAGCACACAAACATCACTATTACAAGGGCGAAAGATGTAAAAAGAGGAGAATAAATAATTTTATTCTGTTCCGGTGTCGAAACTGTACTCCTTCCTCTCTCGTAGAAAGCCTATTTCTTCTATCTTCTATCGATAAAAAAATGTGATTCTTAATCTCGGAAACAAGAGGGTTGAGAATCTTGAAACGTCAATATATATACAAAAGACAAAATATACAAGGTGTACACCAACCTGATCGTTGTACAACGCGTACTGCGCCGGCGGCATGTGGGGGGGCGGGTACGGGGGCGGGAATTGCCACGCAAACGAATCGACTGGATTGGAGGACGGCGTCACCGTCGTCGTCGCGGCGAATATATGCTCGTCGCAAACGCTGTTGCCGAGGTCGGTCGACATGGTGGTCGTGGACATTTGCGTGCAGCAACCGTCTGGATGCGTCGCCGGGGTCCCATCGTCGCGGGTGACGTTGCCGTCTGCACCACCGTTGCCACCTCAGGATGCACCGCACTCGCGCTCGAATGATGGTCCTCGCGCTTCCGCAGCTTGCTGCGGACAAGACGAATCGCAATCATGGTCCCGTTGCTCCCAACCATCTTTCTGCACTTATAGTACAGTCTCGCGAATGTCTCTCTTTTCACGACCGCGTTCCCGGAACTCGGAGGCTTGCCGACAGCGGAATTCCTTGAGTTCTCCAGGATATAAGCTATTTCTGAGCTCGGAGTCAAAGTTTAAAGAGATTCCGAAATCCGAGAGGATCTAGAGGATTTTCTCACAAGCTCTCGAGTCAGAAAATTCGCAAATTTATGAGGTAGCCAGGATTCGAAATCGAAAAAACTTTTCAACTTCGCTCGGATACCTTGGAGCCCTGAAATTCCGATTGCTCCAAGTTACGCAAATCGATACGGTTCCACGGAATGCAGCGACGTACGTTCTATTTTCGACTTCTGTCAAGGATTCCGACTATCAAGACGCTCCGGATTTCCCTCGAGCGACTCGGGAATTCTAAAAAGATGAGAAAAAAAGATGAATGTGCTCTTCTCTCTTTCAGTCTGTGTCTCTTTCTCTCTCACACGTTTACGTTACACGCGGAGCTATCGTGCCGTCATGAAATCAGCCGTCATGAAATCAGCCGTCATGAAATCAGCCGTCTTCCTTCACGTTGAGAAACGATTTCTCCGATTCTTTTCGATATTTATTCTTCTTCTAGCGTTACCCGATTGAATATTAGTAGTTCGGAATAACGCTTTATAATCTTTTTATTATCTCTCTCGAGATAAATGCGGACGTCTTTAAAATCTCTTTCTCTTTCTTACTAACACATTTCGCATCTCTCTCTCTCTCTCTGTCCTGTCCCTGTCAGTTTTAGGAACACTTTGGCCTTCTTTCCAAGTTATACTTCATCTCTATCGCACGCACTATTTCCTATTTCTGTTTCGCTCTGCCAAATGGCTTTACTAATGCACTCTTTGTCGACTTTCCGCTTCGCTTGCGGCAAGGATATATCACCGTTTACACTTGCGCGATGCTCGCACTGACTAGCTTCGTGAATCCTTGGCATTCGATCATTCGGAAGGTCTTCCTTTTCTAGCTCTCGCTCTCGCTCTCTCTCTCTTTATTTCTCCTATACACGCACGTGGACGCGAATTTAAGGGAACGGCGCCGCACGGCGTCGTTTCTCACTGCCGAAAGGCCGCAGCCGATGCAACTCCGCGACTACGTCCGCCTGTTCATCGCTCGCAAACCAGCGCGTATCTGAATCGGAGAACGATGCGTGATCATCTCTTATACGCCGCTTCGTGACGTCACGGACTAAGCGTGACGACGATTGGTGCGCGTCGCGCACGACAGCCAATCGCCGCTTCGGCGAAATTCAAACGGTACACGACGCCTGTCCGCTCTCTCACCTCGCCGACGCAATTTGCGCACGCGTCGTCATAGTTTTGTCGTGCCGGAAGGCCGACAGGCGGACTTACGTCCTTATGTCACGTAATCGCTACGTGTAACCGACGCGACGCGACACGATGCAGCCGACGGCAGTGGCGATCATGGCCTCTCACGTTCCTTTTTTCTTTACACGGTATTTCTCTTTGTATCTGGTGTATGCACGTTACCGCGATGTATCGCGATGATTAACAAAACATTTAGAATATAATCGTTCTGCGTTCTTAGAAAGAGAAATTCACGAATTTGACTAAAGACCGTTTTTCTTTCCGTTTTTCACAACAGTCACGTGTAACGTAGATGTTCAACTCGATATATTTAGTTTTATAATTTTATATCACAAAGTTCGATGATATATCGATACGATCTTTAATCAGCAATTATTAATCTATGGATTACGAATAGAATTTTATTTATTAAATATTTTCATATACAAAACCGATCGCTTTATTCTTGAAAGAAATAAGATGAAAAAAATTCAATCAAGTTGATAGATTAAGTGAAATTTTTAACAAATTTTGTCAAAAAAATTATATATTTTTAATATATATATTATATATATATATATATATATATATATATATAATAATAATATATATAATATATTATAAGTTCATATGTTAACGACACGTTCGCGATCATGCTTTGAATTTATATATTAATTCAAAGAAAAATTATTCTACACTAAGAGCCTGTTCGCCGATTAATGCCATTTATATTTGATTACTATAAATTTATTATTTTATGTAAGTAAAATAATACTGCATCGAATTTTTATCTTAAATATTTAAGACACACAGTTAAATTAAATCATGTTAAATTAATTTCAGTTAGAATACACTTCACTCATATTGAATAAAATTCAGACAAAATAAAATAAAAGAATCAAAATAAAATAAAATTTATAACCGATCGCAATAAGAAGCAATAAGAATATTATATTAAAATAACTCAGATAAGATGAAATCAAATTGCATCAAATTTAAATCGAGTTTAATTCGAGGAACTCAATAAGAGACAGATCGATTACAAGAGAAGAGAAGAGAGGGGTAATTTTTCTTATAAATAAAGCGATATTTATCAGATCACGATAGGAAATAATAATTTAGAGACCACCGTGTCTGCGATTACGTAATGACAGTTGTGAGGACGCCTTTATTACTTTACACAACATACCTACCTAGAACTCGTCTACATTACATACGCAACATTTACACTGACCTAACAATAACAGCAAGCTCCTCATCTAAATCCTACATGCTCATATATCGTTATCTTTACTGTCGAAATTCCACGAGCTAAGTTATAGCCTTAGACGGAAAAAAATGATGTAGTATATGTTGAATCTCGGGCGCAAAAATTGATATAATGAAACGGAACGGAATAAGATAAAATGAAAAATAAATTATAAAATCTTTAGAGTAATTCGCATCAAGATTTAAGATAAAATTCTATTTATAATTTTACGTGCTGCGAAATATGAAAAACAACTGCATAGTGAGAATATATAGATATATAACTATAAAAAAAACACACACACACACACACACACACTAATTTAGAAATCTATTCTCGTATGTAGCAATATATCTACGTAGCAATACAGATAAGGAATTCCGATTCTTAGAG